CCATGTTCAATTAAACCTTTGTGTACATGTAACTTTTCCATATGGGGCCAACAAAGTTGTAGATCCAGACAGCTTATTTTTGGTCCATTTCATCACCCTTAGCTTTAGCTTACCCCCCCCCCCCCCCCCCCCCTTCAATTCAATTCTCACAATTAATGTTTTCTAATCTCACCTCTGCAATCTTAATTACTTTTTTTTTTCACTGCTTCATCTAAACATATATACAACTGATCTGCAGTGAATGCATTGGTTGAGTTGACATGATGGATATGGCTGTAGTCTTTGTGGCAGTAAATTTAATTAATGGGCTTTTGATGATATATATATATATATTATATATATATATATATATATATATATATATATATATATATATATATATATATATATATATATATATATATATATGTGATGATTTGATTTTTACACCAATATTTTATTGCTATTGTTGGGGAGTAGTGATGAGAGATTCTGAGATTAAAAAGAGAAAGTTCCTCTTTACTTGAATTATAACTGCATTTTTGCAATAAAAAGACAAAAATAGAAAAAACACTTGTTCAACTTAAAACAAAACAGAACTGCAAATTCCTAACCTTGTATCCTTTTCCTAAAGCTTAAAAATATCAGTTATTCAATAATAAAAGTATCACCAACACAGAAACTTACAATACTAGACCTAATGCCTCAGTTATTCAATAATAAAAACAAATATAACACAAATAAACCCTAAAATGCATATACATTTACAAAAATTCAAAATAAATCAATAATAAAAACAAATATAATAAAAACAAACCCTAAATTATAATTATATTTATTAAAATTCGAATAAATTAATAATAATTAAAAAAAATTACCTAGCGATGTGCGGATCGGAGAGGCTGTCGCGGACGGTGGCGGAAGCAGTCGAGCTGGCGATGTGCGGATCGGAGAGGCGGTCGCGGACGGTGGCGGAAGCAATCGGAGCCGGCGATGTGCGGAGAAGCTGTCGCGGACGGTGGCGGAAGCAGTCGGAGGAAAGGGCGTCAGCGATGTGAACTGTGGCGGCGGCGTCGACGTATGCGGGTGGACGACGTCAGCATGGAGGTCGGCGGCGAGGACGGCGGCGGTCTGAGACGGTGAGGCCGGCGGTGAGAAGAAGCGCGCGGTGGGGTGGGAGGAGATGGATGGAAAGAGCGGTGGTGGTATGGCGTCGATCGATCTGCCTCAGATCTATTATTATAAAAAACTTTATAACGTCGGCTAAATTAAATAGCCGACGTTATAAAGTAAAAAAAAAAATTAAAAAAATAAATTAAAAACAATACAACGTCGGTTAGATAGTTAGCCGACGTCGTATCATATTTTTTTTTTTTTTTAGTATATAACGTCGGCTAAATTGACTTAGCCGACGTTATATATAAATTATTTTTTTTTTAAAAAATAATATATAACCTACGACGACGGCTGTATTAATAGCCGACGTCGTAGGTTATATATTTCTTTTGTATTATTATTTTTTTATTTTTAACGTCGGCTATTTGGTAATAGTCGACGTTATAAAGTTAATAATTTAAAAAAAAATTAAATGTTTTTAACGTCGGCTATGTATATAGCCGACGTTAAAGAGCCGACGTTGTATGTGAATTTTGTAGTAGTGTCAATGGCATCTCCATCGTCTAGAAACCACAGCAACAAAAAACGGAACCAGCACATCCTTTTGTCGTTGCCCATGAACCAGTCGCAAGCCCACGGTGTTGACAGACCAAAAAAAAAAAAAAACAACAAAACCAAGCATTACATATCTCCCAAAACAATATATATTGTAATTATGCTTGTACATTTCGTTGATTTCCAGACTAACAACAAGAACAAATATATTTTTCAAAATATATATTTGGTACTAATTAATCAACTAGGCAGAGATTTGATAGGGCTTTGATACAAATATTAGACAATAATATTAAGGCTAACATAAACTATAGTAAACGAGTAACCTGCCTCGTTACAGCGGAAGCTTTAGGATCGCCCGAATATCCCCAGCCATAGTCGTTGGTATTGCCACGAGATGGTAAACCTGCAGAATAATATTTTGTCTACCACTTCTCTCTCGAATACGTGATGGTGCGTGTCCTGAACACGGAAGCTGTGGGAGGATTGTTTTGCTTAGAAGCCTACATCCCATCAACGTATGCAGATATTCAGTTAAAGCTTAACTGAATATCCTGAGTTGCCTAACAGATTAAGCGCCACTAACTGACTTAATCTTCCACTTGCACCACAACCACTTAATTAATACAATATATTATAATATATTATATTAGGGAAAATACATACATATCTGACTAAGTAATTTTTTTTTTTGAAAGTTACTGCTTCTATTACATTGTAGTATCTGTTCATAATCTGACTAAGTAATTTAAAATAGCGCATTGCATGTACACATGAAGTGTATAATACTAGGCCGGCGTGGTGAACCCACTGATAATATAACTTAATTGTTTAATTAGTCAAAAACAGTTAATGATGAAATCAATCCGTTAGTGCCAAACACCTAATATTATATAGGAATAAGGGTCAAATAGGCCATCGAAACTGCACACAATAAAACAATTAGGCCACTGAACTTAAAAAACCAACAATTGGGTCCCTAAACTAATCAATTTCAAACAATTCTTTTAATTAGAAGGTTTCCAACAGGTCAACAGGTCATCCTTCCAAATTAATTATTTTTTAAAATTTAAATTTTAAAAATTAATTATTTAAATTTAAAAAAAAAAAAAAAAAAAAAAAAAAAAAAAACTGGTTCCAGCCGGAGACGGTCGTCTCCGGCTGGATTCCAGTTTTTTTTTTTTTTTTTTTTTTTTTTTTTTTTTAAATTTAATTTAAAAATAATTAAGTTTTAAAATTTATATTTTAAAAAAATAATTAATTTGGGAGATGACCTGTTGACCTGTTGGAAACCTTCAAATTGGAAGAATTGTTTAAAATTTGATTAGTTTAGGGACCTAATTGTTGATTTTTTAAGTTCAATGGCCTAATTGTTTTATCGTGTGCAGTTCGATGGCCTATTTGACCCTTATTCCTATTATATACGTAACCATTTCAAACTCACAAAATAAAGCTCAATTTCCATTGTCTGTAATAACTCTACCAATGTGCTCTCACTGCCTATAAATACCATAATGAATTATATGCCTCTTCCCTAAGCTCACACAAATACCATACACATTTCCACAAATATAATAAGAAGACAATGAAGACACCATTCTTCTTATTATTACTTTCTCTCCTTCTCATTACCGTCTTCCTTTCCCAAGCAAGAGTGCTTCAACCAAATAACACACAAAGCTCACTCAACACAAAAACCTCACAAAACACACAAAGCCCCGTACTTGATATGTACGGAAAGATTGTTCGGGTTGGTGTTAAGTACTACGTTGTACCACTTCTCCAGGACCAGGGCGGTGGGTTGGACCTAGCTTCCACTGGTAGTCAGAGTTGCCCAGAAAGTGTGGTTCAAGACGATCCTTACTGGTGGGAAAACACGATGCAGTTCTACCCAGTTGATCCGAAGAAAGCTGTGGTTCGTGAATGGAGTGATCTCAACATTGAATTCCCGGACGCATACACTATGGGATGTCCAGAGAATAATGTTTGGACGATAGTTGGTGATCTCTCGGTGTATGATGATTCTCATTACATAACAGCAGGTGGAGAAAAAGGAAATCCTCAATACTACTGAATTCACCTATAACGTCGGGCCTTTAAAGTCGGTTATATATTATAACCGACGTTAAAACATATAACGTCGGCTATTTGTAAATAGCCAACATTATAGATAAAAAAAATTTAAAAAAAATAATAAATATAATACGACCGTCGTAGGTGTTTTAAATTAGGCCCCAACATCGCATTACAGATACGGCGGCTTTCTTCACATTCGCCATTTCATTTCTCACCATCGCCGCTCAGACGACGACTCACCACCGCCGCTCAGACGACTCATCGCGCACAGCCACCGGTCTGCTCGCCGCCACCATTTTGCTCAGCCACCGCCCACCGCCCCAACAGCCACGCCTTGCAGTTCGACGCATTTTTCTTCGCCGCACATCCTCCGCTGCCCTGCTTTGCCGCACCGGCCCACTGCCGCTCCGTGCTGCCCAGCCTCTTCCGCACCGCCAGCTACATTGTAAGTTTTTCTTAAAACATTATTGGTTCAATTTCTGGAATTATTATATATTTGGAATTATTTATTAATGGATTTCGAATTTTAGGAATTATTAGGTTATATATTTTTTTCTGTGAATTTTGATGCTATTGAAGCCGGAACCCTAGTGATTATTGCTGATTAGAGCTCTAAATGGAGTTCTTTTGTCAATTGTTCCCTCAATCACATTGAGTTGATCTTTGGATGTGGTTGTGATAGATTAGATTCATCAAATTCTTTTGGATAGCTTTTTTGGTAATGGAAAGTTCAATTCATTCTATCCAAGCCTTCAGGTATATATTTTGTGTGTTATCTATCTTTGCATGGGTACCAGGTTTTTGGGTATTGAAAGATGAGATTATATGTTCTGTATATGGTTTGGACATAACTGTGCGCCAGGTATTATTGAAGTCAATAGTTTACACTCGCTTCAATGGAACCTTGTAATTAATGAACTAAACTAACTCTTATTTTTCAGGCTGCATTGCTGTGTGGTAAACTATAGTTGCAAACACTCCTAAAACTCTAAAGGAAATTATGCCAGTTTTGATGAGCACATTAATTAGTTTCTCTTGCTTCCTCATCTTCTGATGCTGCTTTATTGATATTAGCATTAGGAAACCAGAATGCTCTCCATGGTTTTTTTTTGGATAGACACATCCTTGGGTTTTTTTTCCCCTGATGATTTGACATTCCTAGTGGCTTATGAGTAGCCTTCTTATTCTAGGTAAAGTTGATTTTCTTTTTTTTTACCTAAATGATTGTGACTTATCTTCTTTATCCAATTATTCCAAAACCCCTTAAATCATATTCCAGTAGAACAGATCACTACTTAGTTTGCAGTTCTTCATTATTGGTCTACAGTTTCATAAATTTTGTTATGTTTAATTTTGAATTGTTTAGCAACTATGGTCTATGGTGTACCTCTGCATTTGATTCGGGAGCTTTATGAGACATTTCGCAACTTCAAAATTCGTATTGCTGATTACATGCGGCTATCGGGAAGATCACTTCAAACATGAATGATCGTTTTCCAGATGCTACACCAGAAGAAACTCAATGCGTGAGTTGTTTGAAATAAACTTTTCTGTGCATTCTTTCTTCATAATCATTTTCATCACATTTTGTGATCCTACAGAAGTGATGCTACCTGCATCATTTGCCATGAGGAGGTGACTACCGCAAAGAAACTCATTTGTGGGCATCTTTTTCACGTGCATTGCCTCCGTTCATGATTGGAAAGGCAGCACACCTGTCCTACCTGCAGAGCCTCCTGAAAATGGGACAAGTCAAACAGGGCCAACTGTAACACCCCCTAAAAACAGGCTAATTAAAAACCTTAAAACATGCAGATAACACAACTAAACAACAAACACAGCGGAAGACTAAAATATAACTCTATAAATATAAATCCAAGTCATGGGGTGTTATGCCACGTTCACTAACAAAAGATGCGGCAAAATCTGCATTGTTTACAACTATCCAAAAGTTACCAAAGTCTATAACTAAAGCGGCACACAGGCCATAAAACCAACGGGAGAAGCTATGCTAACAGGCACTAGACTGCGCCACTCGCCTAGACATCACCTGAAAGAACACAATAAAACATGGGACGATGCCCGGTCAGCGAATAATGCTGGTAACCCACCAATACATGTGAAATATCATACATAGATAAGATATACATCTGTAAAACCATTTTCGAAACGGAATACATATATATAAGTACAAAACCAAGAGCAATAGTCAACACAAGACTCACCACTCTCAACAATAACACGGGAACACATCCCAAGATCACAAGGAACAACATGACTCACAAGAAGAGTCAAGGCATGATCTATCATCACTCAATAGATCAAAACCCGACAAGCACAACGCAAAGGAATAAGACTCACCCAACGGCAACACATGCCTTTGTGACTACACACGTCACAAGAGAAGAACTCACCACAATGGCTACACAAGCCCTCGTGACATCACCCATCACGAGTTGATATGCCTTCCTTATGCCCGGTTCCAACCTTTATGGCTACCCCCAACCTTGTATCTTCTTTCCAACCATTACCTCCAGGACCCCTGTACAACCAAGTCCAACCTTTTCCCTCCTGGGACCGTCGTCCCCACCAACGACCACCAACGAGACCACCGATTTCATAGTACACGAGGGTACCGTACACACACACGGCAACACATGCCACCCAAGAATCACGTGAACCTTACACAAAGGTCACAACTCCATAATCACGTCACGGCCACCACGAGACCGCTGCAATACCTTGGTGACTAGTGTCCCATTCCACTAATCGTGTAATCCAGGTAAGCCACACATCACATCACACCACAACAGGAATCAATCAACGGATCACAACGAAGATATGAAACCATACTCAATCAAGGAATGGGTCACAGCCCAAAAACAACAACGATGAATAACACAAGTTATCATCAAACCAAACGGAATGTACAAACAACACACACGCTAGCACTTAAACAACGAACTAGCATGCTTATCAAACGGGTAAACCAAAGATAGTTCCGAAGAACACACAAGACTCATCACGGTTCAACGAAACACAATGTTGAACACTTAGCATGATTCAAGACACCAAAACTTACATGGATACCTACCACATAGTTCTAGACGTACGGAACATCAAAAAGACACTCAAATAGTTCCACAAAAGAACATCGGGAAGTCAAAAGACTGAATACCGAGTCAAAAGAATCACGGGGAACAAATTCCCAAACAACCCACATTACGTACCCGCGGTGGCCCACGGGTAGGCCCCTACCTGTGGTCCTGCCGCGGGTACAGGCTGTGACACCCCAAAAATCTACATTCAATCCATGGATTAATTGAGTAATTAATCCTATTTTATTTGAAGAATTAATTCCTAAAATCCTGATTTTTAATACTCGAGGACTAGTATTTGACTAGTCAACTTCAAAGCTATGTTGTACCTTGAGCTTTGAGGGGAGTTCCCTTGTTCCTTACACTTTCTAAAGGTTAGTAAGGGTATCTTGACTTTTCACCAAGAGTTAGTATTGTAACATAACCTAGAAGACTTCTTCATTTTCATTCCTTACATTTCCTAGAAATTAGCTCTACCTTCTCTCTAGAAAGGTGAGTAGCTTATTCTCCAAGCTAAGTTGAGACCCTTGTCAAGATCCCAAGATTTGCTTCCAAGATTCAACCTTTCACCTATTTGGGCATCTAGGAGGGTAAGATCTAAGTCCATCTTGTGTTTTTGGTTTCATCTTAGTTGTCTTTTTCTTAAAGGTAGGATCTTTATGATCTTTTGGTTTAATCTTGAAGTGGGTTTGGAAAGTAAGCCTTGTGGGGAGCTTGTTGTGGTGTAAAGTGAAGTCTTTTGGTCTACAAGAGGTAACCCATGCTCTACAAAACCTATTTTGCTTACCTATATGTGATTTCTTGGATTCTACTTGTGTTTTGCTATAAAATATGAGTGTTTATGCATTTGTCTTGTGAAAATGCATATCTAGAGCTTGTGTTTAGGGTTCTTTTGTGCCATTGCTTGGCATTTCCTATGATTCAAGTCATTTTGTTGTATTTGGTGAGATTTGGCATGTTTGGAGAAGAAAATCCTCGAAGGGGATTATTTTGCACAGGTGTATGTACCCGCGGGCGGAACGACGGGTCGAGCTCCACCCGCCGCCCACCCGCGGGAAACATGTAGCCTCGTGGGTAGTGTACCCGCGGGCAGAACCACGGGTGGGAGCCTACCCTTGGGTCCACCCGCGGGGAACACAATGGAGACGAATCGGGATTTGTTCCCCGTGATTCGTTTGACTCGGTATTTGGTCTTTTGACTTCCCGATATTCTTTTGTGGAACTATTTGAGTGTCTCCTTGATGTTTCGTATGTCTAGAACTATATGGTAGGTATCCATGTAGGACTTTGGTGTCTTGAATCGTGCTAAGTGTTCAACATTGTGTTCGTTGGACCGTGAGTGTCTTGTGTGTTCCTCGGAACTATCTTTGGTTTCCCCGTTGATAAGCATGCTAGTTTGGTATCTAAATGCTAGCGTGTGTGTTGTTTGTACCTTCCGATTGGTTGATGATAACTTGTGTTATTCATCGTTGTTGTTGTTGGGCTGTGATCCATTCCTTGATTGAGTGTGTTTTCATACCTTTTGTTGCAATCTGTTGATTGATTCCTGTTGAGGTGTGATGTGTGAGTGGCTTTACCTGGATTGCACGATTAGTGATATGGGACACAAGTCACCAAGGTATTGCAGCGGTCCTCGTGGTGGCCGTGACGTGAATATGGAGCTGTGACCTGTGTGTCAGGTTCACGTATTTCTTGGGAAGGCGTGTGTCGCCGTGTGTGTGTACGGTACCTTGTGTACTATAAAATCGGTGGCTTTGTCGGAGGTTTGTTGGAGGGGGAACGACGGTTCCCGGGGGAATAAGGTTGGACTTGGTGTACAGGGGTCCTGGAGGTAAAGGTTGGAACTAGATATAAGGTTGGGGGTAGCCATAAGGTTCGAACAGGGCATAAGGAAGGCATA